AGGAACCCTGTTTGCTAGTTCTGCCTTCCTCTCTGGCACTAGGACCCTGTGACACAAATCCTGGCCCTGGGCTGGGCTGTCATTGACTGCGCAGACTGTTCTCTTCCTACGCCAAGCACAGTTTGTAAAAAACATGCAAAAATCTAGCCAAATCAACCCTACCCTCATCTTGTGGCTCTCAAAGAGTTGTATTTTCCCCTGAGAAGTTGCAGGAGATAACCGCTGCCATTTACAGCTTTTTGGTCACAAAAATTGTCACCTGCACCTTCCCCCCCTTGGTCACTTTCTAGAATTATTCTTCTTGGACTCTCTCTAGTACCACCACCTCCACCATCCTGATGGCCCTGCCCAAAACTAAATAAAATGAGGGGAATGAGCCTTTGAGGAAGTAGGAGGCGTGAGTGCAGAGGCTCAGAAAGAAACCTGGTCACGGAATCCGCATGTGCTCCCCTGTGCCTGGGCCTTGCTGGGTCCTCCATGCTGGGCTCTCCTAGCTGCTGTGCTGGCGTTACATGTATTACATTTAATTCTCACATAAATCAGGAAGGTGGGTGTTGCTTGTCTGGGTGCCCAGTGCCTAGTTGGAGTAGCCCAGGCAGAGTAAATGCTCAATAAATGTTTTTATAGTGCCTGAGTGATAAGTGGGACATTGGCATTACAAGGTCCGTGGATGCTCCTATTTATTTTTAGGGAAATTGACTCCTTGGCCTAGAAAATCCCCATTTCCAAGACTGTTTGGGGACCATGGACAGTTGCAAGAGCCTGCATTGATTTCTGCTCCTGTTCCTGGCCTGAGCTCGTGCACTCACCAAGTGCAGTCTGAGAGTAGCAGGTGGCAGCCCTGTTTCCCAGAGAGGGGAGCCTCGAGGCCCAGGGACCTTCAGCATCTCCCCCCGCGGGTCTACAGCGAGTCCACAGGTTCTCACCTGGCCTGTGTGACTGACCTCTGCTCCCCTGATGTGTGAAGTGCATCCTGAGAGGTCCCTGTTGAAAGATGCAATCCAGAGCGGTAGCCTGCTTCTCAACTTTGTAAACAAGTCCAGAAAGTTCCCGGAAGGAAGCCATGTCAGTAACGTGCCTGCAGCTGTTGCATTTCCTGCCCTTTTCCCCAGGCTTTTCTTTCCCTTCTCCCCTCTGCTCCTGGAGAAGAGATACTCCCATGAAGAAGGAGCAGGCTCCTGCCCTGGGGGCCTGTTCTCCCCCACCCCACCCCACGGCGCACAGGTGCTTACCTCTGGGACGGTGTGGTTTCCTCTGTCAGCTTCTGGGGTAGGTGAGGTCCGGCCCAGCGAAGGTGAGGGCCAGCCCTGCCTGCCTCCCCTGGTCGGCCGTATGAGATTCCTCAGTCCCTCATGAGTGCTGGGTTCACCCACCAAAAGAAATCAATAGCGCCTACCTTGGGTGTTTGTCTCAGAGACGTTAAAGAAAATATGTAGGTAAGGGCCTCTCCCGCATCAGACACATCCGTGGCATTTGACGCTTGGTTCTGAGTGATCTTCCAGGCCAGAAGAAGACTTGAACTTATTACTTCAGGTCACTGCTTTGCTCTCTGACTGGCCTGGGTTTTGTGGTTGCACCACTGCAATGTGTGCTGTACCACATGTGACAAGCAGACCCAGACCCTCCCCACTGAAACCCCAGCCATAGGAAAGGAGGGTGAAGAGCTGGATGGGTCAGCTTAGGGGGAGCTGAAATTCAGCAGCATGTCAAATGGGCTTTTAACATCATTCCCAATTTTATTTAGTATCTGCATAGCTTCTGAGCCTTCCTTCTGAGGTAGAGGGCCAGAAAAGGGAACTCCAGTTTGTGGGGCTAATGACACTGTGGGGGCCGTAGCCATTTTCTGAGGCCCTAATCTATAATGTGGAGAAGGCTTCCAGGGACTGGGGTAAGGATCCCTTGAATGTGGGACACTGCTCTCTGGGGAAAGAAGCAGTGGGAAAGAGAGAGTCTAAAGTCGTGACCTAGAAGGAGATACAAAGGAAAAAGCTTCCGATCTGGCCTGGCAGAAGGAGCTAGGGTGGTAAGGGCTGGCCCCTGGCAAGGCTGGGCCGTCCAGGTCCCTGAAATCCTACCCACCTCTCCCCCTTACTCTAGCCCGAGCCTGGCTCTTGTAATTGACAAAGCGCATCCTCCATGATCTCTCACTTGACCACCACGTAGCCCTGGCCAGGTGGGCAGAGTAGGATCCTCCTTCCCTTCCCGGTGAGCACAGTGAAGCCCCTTGGGTCAGCAGTGTGACCGTCCCCAACCTCATGTGGCAGGTCTGCTCTTTGCCAGGTACTTGCCTGGGTGCTCAAGGTACAGCAGCAAACATAGGTACTGTTTTCTACGTGTAAGGTGACTTCAGCCTGTGCCCACAGGCTCCTGGAGGTGGGGAAGAAGGTGATCGCCTGGAAATAACCACCACAGTGAAGCTTAGAGCATCGCTGCAGAACCGTATGGATATGAACGTGCCGTGGCTCTGACAGCTGTAAGGGGGCGGGGCCTTGTTTTTGGCCGGAGCTGGATTTGAACCCGCCACCTCTGGCATATGGGGCCAGCGCCCTACTCACTGAGCCACAGGTGCTGCCTTAGGGGACTTTTAATAAAGTTCAATTCAACAGAGGCCTGGCAACAGGGAGCTTGTCTCTTAACTAGGGAAAAGTCTGTGATCAACAGGTGATCAACATGGCCAACGTCCCCAGCAGGGCCAAGCACTGCATTTCAGGAGCAGCAAAGAGGCTGGTACGGCAAGCGGGGGGGTGGGGTGGTGGAGAGGTCATGGGGTCACCTGCAGCATGGGCAGGACGCTGGCCACCAGCTGGAGCAGCCAAGACACCATCAGCCTCAGATCTGGATCCTCTGACTCGCACTTGTTCCCCTGGACCATCTTCTGTCACGCCCACGGAAGACCTTAATATTTTTAATTATCACTTTCATGTTTGCCTTTATTCTCACAGTTACTCTGCAGCCAAGACAGTGAAATTGGGGGTCCGGTGTTTGGCTCAAGTTAGGAGAGACCTGTAGGGGTGAGGGGGGAGTGGCAGGAGCCGTGAGACTTCACTCATGCCCCACCCTGTGCTCTGGGTTTGGGTTTCCCCGATTCACCTGGAGCTGATCTCAGAGCCCCTAGTGAGGCTGGAGGGCCAGCTCTGCCTGCTAACCTTCCATTAGAGAAAGCAAAGCAGGAAACAGATTGGTTTTTACTCAGCTCCATTCCAGAATAGCACATCTAGATCTTTCCTGGTTTTATAGAGCGTTAACCATAGGCTCATGAGAAGAACGTGCGTTCTGTAGATTGTGATAGACTTTGGTGAGCCAGTACAAGAGGAAAAGCTGCGTCTCTGTGTGTTGTGGAATCCCAGGATGTCAAACTGGCAGCGACGCGACTGCTCCTCCCAGGTGGTCGTGTGACAGTGTGCAGCGTGCCGGTGAATTGTACCCTTAAAAATGCCTAAGATGGTAAATTTGTGCTAGGTATATTTTAACCAAATAATTTTTTTTTTAAATAAAAAGGAATGCCTTGTTCAATGCTCTTTAAGGCTGAGGAACGCAGTCAGTGGCTCAGCCATAGGCTCACAACGGGTGAGCAGTGGAGCCTGGCCTGGAAACTGACTTTCCCCGTGACCACGCCGCTTTTTGCTCAGAGGTAGAATTGAGTACAGGGAAGTAGTCTCTCCTGGGTTTTGGAACTCCTATCATCCAAGTATGAGATCTTTTTCACCAAACTTATTGCTATAGCTCCCAGCAGCTCTCTTTTGGTTAACTTGAACCTCACCTCCTTTGGGTGACTTTTGGTGGCTATGGCAGTCAACTTGCCAGGCTGAGACCTGCAGGCCGACAAGCAGCAGGAGATGGGCTCAGGTTGCTGGCTCTGCCTTCCGCCCCATGGTGGCTTTCCCAGGCAGCTTTCTTATCCCCTGCTCATGGGGGCTTCCTAACCCTTTGGGGCAAACTGGTAGGTGCTGGGATGTGCACTTGAGACAGAGGAGCAAGGGATGCGAATGACACTGGCCTGTGGGTGCTCAGATGGCCTAACTCCAGCCGCTTCTGCTGCTCCACTCCTTCCCAGCACGTCCACAGGGGTGTGAAGATGGAATGGGCTCAACCCAGTCAGCTCATGCTGCTGTTCACATGGCCGTGCCGTGCACACAACACGTGAGAAGTCAGGGTTGCAGGTGTGTGGCACAAGCCAAAGATATAGGCAACCTAGGTCAAATGTTAAGTAGCAGGTCAAGGACCAGAACCCAGGAGTGTGACGGGCTGGACAGGGACAAGGGCAGCAGGCAATCTGGGAAAGAAGATGGATGTGACAGGAGAATGTGGGCCTCAGAAGGACCAGGTGGTAGGAGTCCACTGCTGCTGGAATGTCCCTCCTTCCTGCCTGTGTCCTAACAACAGGATGCTGGACAGCAGGACAGCAGCAGCCATGTCAACTTAGGAAACTGTAGTGTCGAGTCTTCTGCTCTTCCCAGCTAAAAGGTTTGGGCGGGATACTCAAACTCTGAATCCTCGTTTGCGGAATGGTCAAATCTTACCGTACATGTTTAACAAAAAGCAGTTAAGTAATGTGCACAGTCTGAGTTTGCTGCAAGCTGTGGGCAGAGCTTCCCTGGGTTTCCCGGTTGGTTCTGTCTAAGTTTGAATCCTATGTTTCCTTATATGAACGTGACTTTGAGAAAATGACTTAATCTCTTGTTTCCTTATCCTCAAGACAGGCATGTGATAGTAATGTTACTTATGGTTGGTTACGTTGCTAAAGGTTCGAGTTCCCCTGTAGATTGTAAGCCTCATGAAAAGACCTTGTCAGTTGTGTTCACAGTGTGTCCCAAGCCCTGGAAGAGTGTCTGGCACCCCAGGTGCTCAGGAGGAAAAGTTTGGCTGGTCAGATGCATGAGTGGACGAATATAGCTGAGGGGTCTTTGGACACATAGCAGCGGCTGCACGATGATTCTGTCATTGATGTATCTCAGGGCAGGGCTCCCTCAGAAGCTTATTTTTTTCTCCCTTTCTTTCAGGACTCGGGTCAAGCTAGAAAGCCTGGAAGATGCCTACATTCTGCAGGGAGATGACGATTCTCTCTCTGACAAGCACGGCTGCCCGGCTTACGTCAGCCCGGAGATCTTGAACACCAGCGGCAGCTACTCGGGCAAAGCAGCCGACGTGTGGAGCCTGGGGGTGATGCTGTACACCATGTTGGTGGGGCGGTACCCTTTCCATGACATTGAGCCCAGCTCTCTCTTCAGCAAGATCCGGCGTGGCCAGTTTAACATTCCAGAGACTCTGTCACCCAAGGCCAAGTGCCTCATCCGCAGCATTCTGCGGCGGGAGCCCTCGGAGAGGCTGACCTCGCAGGAAATTCTGGACCATCCTTGGTTTTCTACAGATTTTAGCGTCTCGAATTCAGGATATGGTGCTAAGGAAGTGTCTGACCAGCTGGTGCCGGACGTCAACATGGAAGAGAACTTGGACCCTTTCTTTAACTGAGCTCACGCCCTACAGGGACTTAGCAGGTACCAGGAGGGCAGCGGAAAGAAGTTCTTCCAGGGGACACATCTCGCCTGCCTTGGTAGCAGAAAGGACACTGACATCATAAGTTTCTTGGTTCAGAGAAGGAGCGCCTGCAAGGAGCTGACTCAATATGTAGCAGGGGGCAGAGACGTGGGTGGGGGTGGGGGTCAGACGGAGGGAGCCCCCTGGAGCTTGTCTTCTCCGACGTAGCCTGGGAGACCACCCCTGGCCAGTTGGGCTGCTTCCACCTCCCCCACTTTTCGTTTTGTTCCCAAATAGTTGCAGATCCTGACAGAATTGAAACTCTCTGCCTCAAAACACACATCTTGGCATGGCACTGTTAGCATTTAACTTCTTGTTATGATTCAGGGAAGGAACAATTGGCGGAGGCATTTTGTTTTGTTTTGTTTTGTTTTTTAAACAAGCCAACCACCTAGCTGACAATTAATGGGATTCACTTAAAAAGAAAAAAAAAATTCGGTGCACACAGACTGGCATGTAACCTGGGTGCTAAACTCAAAAGAAAACACAAAAGTCCAGTTCGTGTCTCTTAATCGCTCTCTTCAACTCATTTCTTCTAAATAAACTATTTAATATCCTGGTCAGGAAATGACATGTTAATGCTTTGCTCCCTGAAGGGGGAAAAAAAAAATCTGTCCTTTAACAAGCTTATTTCGTTTGGTGTAGATTGGTTTGTGGCAGGAAGCTATTTGAAGTCAGACTTCCAGATGCATTACTGCCATCGTCGTTTAAAGGGGGGAAGGGAAAGGAAGAAGAAAGGGAGAAAGAAGTCCAGCTCCTCTCTAATTTTTTTCCTTTTGAAGATTGAGGGTTGGTGGTGCGGCCATTCCTCTTTGCTGAGATGGCAGCAGTGGCCTGAGATACCACGAAGCCGCTGGAGGCCGATGCTTTTGCAAACTCCAATCTCAACTAAACATTTGTCTTTGTTTTGATAGAAACTAGTGAAACAAAGCAGGTTGTCCCACGTGTATAAAATACAGGGCAGCTATTTCGTTTTCTTTAAGAAGAATAATCCTTTTGGCTTGGAAGGCCCTCTGGTTTGGATAAAAACCCTCAGTAGAGACAAGCAAGAAGGATGATAAGCTGAAAGCTAGGATGATATAAATAAAAACAGCTCTCTATCCCAATATGCACCTTTGTCTTTTCAAGAACTCTTCTATTTATTAAGGAAAATGTCACGTTGTGATGTATTAAGCCAGTACTTCAATTACGGGTTGACTTGGGATGACGTGTTACATGCTGTAGTTAACATTTATAATTTTTTTCCCCTCGTTTTGAGTATTTCTGTCCCTGAAATAACCTTTATTTGGCTTTTCTAGATAGCTTTATTTGATTTCGAGTGGCAAAATGTTTTTTTATTATGGCTTTTCTATTGCTGTATGATACAGAACTCTTTTGGCATAAATATTTGTGTTCCCAGTACCTCAGTTGTTTGGATTTTGCTGCCTGTATATGTTTTGTGAAATGGTCATGTTCTTGGGTAGGTAACACATGGACTCTAGTATGTAAATGTTACTTGAATCTGTGCTTCATTATAGTATGTGGCATGTATGTGCAGACTCTTGGACGCTTCACGCCAGCCCAGCGGGAGCCCATCCTTCAGCTCCCAGGAGGGCGGCTGCACCAGTCATAATCAGGAGACAAGGCGGCCATGGATTTGCCCTTGATTCTATTTTGCTAATGGAAGATATAAAGGAGAGAAGTTGTTTTTTGTTTTTGTTTTCGTTTCGTTTTGTTTTGTTTTACATTCTGAAGATGGTGCTGTGTCAAGAAGGACCTTTTTTTCTTCCCTCTCCCCTATTTTTAAGTCCCTGGTAGGAGGAGAGATTGCTGATGTGCATGGCGGGATCTGTGGCCTCTGGTGCTTTGTCCTGTATTTGGTTTAATGTTTTTGTCCTAATCTCTTCAATCAATAAAATTGTGCGTATTTAACTAAAATCTTTGGGGTCTGGAAAAATGATAATTTTTCTCTTGCTTCTTGTTGGCGGCCACCATGGAACTCCCACCTTCTAATAGCTGTTCATTTATTTAGCACGCACCCTGCTGCTGCTGATTCAAAGTGAAGTGTCCTTGTCATTGTATTGAAGTGGACGCTAGCCAATCTACATACAGTAGCTCACTGCACTGCATTAACCGTCACAACTGTAGGAGATGTGAACCACGTTCTTTTTTTTTTTTTTTTGAACCACGTTCTTGGTATACATTAAACAATGAGCCCAGAAAGCTGCCTGGCTTGTCCAAGGTTAAACAATCTGCAAGAGATAGACCCAAGACTGACCCAAGCTGGTCTAGCCCTGAAGCTTATTTACTCTTTCTACAATATTGGAGTCCAGAGGTTGCTGGGGGAGAATTCTTTGGAGTAACCAGGCTTATTTGGGATGCACCTACTCCAGCTTTCATGTGGATTCCCTAGCAAAAGGAGCGTGGGCTGCAAACCTACTGCCTCCCCTGCAGCCCTCCATTCAGACTCTGCCCGTAGCAGAGCCAAGTGGGCTGTGCAGGTGCTCAGACAACAGTGTCCTTCCCTCCTCTACGTAACTGTGGCCCAGTGAGCTTCCACTTCAGCTCTATCCTGAAATGTTCAGTGTCTCTTGTTTCTGTGCGGGCTGGGGAACCAAACGGAGACAGACAAAGGCAGTGAATGAAATTAAGAGGCAAAATAAGCACACACGAGTCCCAGAAGCTCATGGGATGGGTGCCCCTCCTGTCTGGGTCAGTCAGCAGGTGCTCTGGAAGGGGTGGCATCTGAATCATGTCCAGAAAGAAAAGGACCGAGGTAAGAGAAATAGCAGTAGCACCCCGTGCACAGGGAACTGCGTGTGGAAAATTCTTAGGAATTTGCCCGAGTTAACACCATCACGCCAAGCTGCAGCAGGAGCTCATCATGGTTCTTGCAAGGATGAGTTTGAGGAGCATGGAGGTGTGTAGTTGAGGCAGAGGCTTGTGGTCCAGTTGGGCCAGGTTTCTGTATTCACAAAGTGCTTATTATTCAGAGATAGCACTGCACCCTCACTCCTGATCCAGTGCTGGGCACATGGGAGGCGTTCAGTATATAACTGGTCACTGATGTGTGGTTTGTGCCAGGGGACCCTACATGCCGCAGAATTTCCTTCCAACCTCGGGTTCCTCAGGTTTCTAATATGAACATCATTATAGAGAACAGGCTTTCCAGCCGTGGAAGCTACCAGTGGCCTCTGCTCGGGCACATATAGGCTGATCCAGTTTCACTGCTCTTTCCCTGCCTCTGATTCAGCAGAAATGGGCTTGCTGCCTAATGACGGCCCATTTGAATTGTGTCCTATCAAACCTTCTCCTGGGTGGCTGCCGGGGGTGGAGGTGTTGACACATGGGTTCAAGGCTCTGTGTAACGAGCGTCCCCTTTGTTGGGAACCCAGACCCTGCGAGCTCCCTCCCTCTGCCCCCCTTGATGTCTGAAGACTTAGCCAGTAGAGCACTTTTATTTCCTAATCCCTTTGAGGATAGATGCCTTATCCTTTTCCTACAAATCTCGACCCGGAGCGGGGCAGGGGCCTGATCCACACGGAATGGGGGCAGAGGTGAGGGGAGGTAGCAGTCTCGGGCCCTGAGTCCCTGCTGTCCTGTTAGCTGTGACCGGCCAAGTCAGTTAATTTTACAAGGACCAAGAGTGTTCCAGGGTTGATTGAGTTAAGCTGTGTGACAGGCAGTGAGAGGGCCCCTCTCCTGCTGCAACCAAAGCAGCCCTGCCGCTGACAGTTTCACACGTGCAGGTCTAACCTAGACTTGCGGGGAGAAAAGTAAAAGATGCTGCCTGACGTATGTGCTGCGGTCTGAAGGGTCGCGTCCCTCCAAAATCCCTACTGCGTGCGCTGGAACCTAATACCCAACGGGACAGTGTTAAAAGGTGGGGCCTTGTAAGAAGTGATTAAGTCGGGAAGGCTCCACTGGAATGCATGGAATTCATGCCTTCCTGAAGAAGTGGAAGGGAGCTGCCTTGTCTCTCCCACCCTGTGGGGACACAGTAAGAGGTGCCATCTCCAAGCGGAGAGCAAGCCCTCGCCAGACACCGGCTCTGCAAGGGACTTCCCAGATCCTGGGAGAAATAAATTTCTATTATTTATACGTTACACAGTTTAAGGTACTTTCTTACTGTAGCAGGAAACCGACGCAGACAGAAGACTCCAGGCACCAGTTGATCAGAGGAAGCGGGTTTATTCGGCTGGGGGTACTCGGAACACCAGTGTGTTTCCCCAAACTGAGCCCCTTGACTCAATCTCTTGCCTCTCTTTTATCCCCCTTTCAGGGTGGGAGTGCACGTGAGGGTCATAAAACAGAGGGAGACATGACATCATTCTCAAAGTCCCAGGCTCAAGGGGGAAGGTCAGATTCGCCCGCGTCCTTGAGACCCGTCAGACCACCTTTCCTCAAAGGCAACAGAAACCCACGGAAGTTACTAGGTTACCATCTAGGCCCTGCGTCTGTCAGGGAGAAACATACAGACAACAGAAAGGCCTGCGGCTTGGCTGGGGCTGCACAGGGCGGCTAGGACAGATTCTTTTAGTTCTGCTTTTACTTTCTTGCCTCATTACAACAGCCTGAACACATTTAGATAGGTTTGAAAACCCATGCTCAGGTCCGATTCTTGTATCCTCTTGGTGCAGAAACTGAGGTCTGGAGAAGGGAAGGCTGGAAAGGACCAGAGTCATCCTGAGAGTAGGTAATGGAGGGTGAACCAGGGAATCGAAGTGGGCCAAAGTCGGTCCTGCACAGACTCCAGGGGTTCTTGCTGCTAACCCAGCTCTGCCCATTACCCGTAATGGGTTTCAGTTAATAATCTGCAGTGATTACGAATTATCAGTCATTCATTACGTGTTTTAAGCAAAGTATACCCACCTGTGGTTTGGAGACGCTCCCCTTTACCTAGCGGGTAATTATCTAGCGTCCCAAAACGAACAAGGGCCAGGAAATTGAAGTTTGGAGGCTGAGTCCCTCACCGCGTCCATGAATGTCCCTTTCAGTTCTGTGTCGTTCCGTGCCCTTACTTCCCAGGCTTATGCATGGCCTGACAGCAGGAAGCCAAATCCTGAAATGAAGACCTGTCCTAAGAGATAAAAAGAAGGATGAACTGGGAACCAACCTCTCTTTAATCCATAGGCCAGCATTTCAAGGTAAGTAGCAGTGTTACAACTGGGTACAGTGAGCCTCAGAAAGATTAACGGAATCAAAGGAGGCCATCCCGCCACTATGGTGAATCCTAGTCTATTTGAATGGAGGAACCAAAGCTATTCCTCAATGACGTTTCTAGACACAGAGACCTAAACCCGTGAGCTACTCACAGGGCTCTCCTCTCCCCTCTCACACCCATCCTGAGAAGGTTTCCTGTAGCTCCCACACTCAAGGGATAGAGGGGAATTGAGAATATTACTGAGGTTAAATGAACTTTTCAACTTTCTTTGAACTTAATCACAGTTTAACCAGATTTGGACAGAAGCATTTCAACACTTGAATCTTCTTCCTTCCCCAAATAAAAGCTTCTCTTCCCCCAGACTGTTAAAGTTTTTGCAGTATGAGTACTATCCTGGTTTGCTTGGGCTGCTGTAAATACTATAGGCTGCATGGTTTAAACAATAGATGTTTATTTCTCACAGTTCTGGAGGCTGGCAAGTCTAAGGTCAGGATGCAGGCAGATTCAGCGTCTGGTGAGGGCCTGATTCCTGGTTTGCTGACAGCTGTCTTACATGCAGCAGAGAGATAGAAATCTCTGTGTGTGTCTTGTTCTCTCTCTCTTTATTTCTGTATTTATGTTTTGAGATAGGATCTTCCTCTAGACCCCTTATTGCTGTGGACTGGAGTACAGCGGCATCATCCTGGCTCACAACAACCTCAAACACCTGACCTTAAGCGATCCTGTCTCAGCCTTCTGAGTAGCTTGAACTATGGGTACACACCCACAGACATGGCTAATTTTTCTTTTTTTTTTTTTTAATTTTTGATTTTTTTATAGTGTTGGGGTCTTGCTGTGTTTCTCAGGCACACCTCAAACTCCTGGCCTCAAGTGATCTTCCTGCCTCTACCTCCCAGAATCACAGGTATCAACCACGACACCCAGCCTTCTCCTGTGTCTTCTTCTATTAGGGCATTAATCTCATTAATGAGGGCTTGAATTTCTTGTCCTAATGACCTCTCAAGGCCCCACTTCCAGATTTCATCCCCTGAGGGATTAGGGTGAGGACCTATGAATTTTGAGGGGACATGTTTATTCACTCTACAGCAAGCTTCCAGTTTGGAATTGGAAGACCTTGCTTCCCTTCCTGTTCTGCCACTTACTTCATACGTGATCTGTGACAAGTCACTTCATTTACTGAGTCTCCATTTTCTCATCTATAAAACAGAAACAAAGGGTTATTGCACAGATAACTAATTTCTGGGTAAGTTACCATGCTGCCCAAACTGTAAAGTGGTCTGCAAATGTTTTAACTAGGACAGATGGCCTCAGCAATGCTGAGGCATTTAGGTACTAAAATTAAAATTCTAAGTTGGAGGCAAAGCTGAAGACAAAATAGGACTCAACTAGCAGTGAGTCAGCAGCAGGGGGGGATTACCCCCTGGGGTTCCCTGTCTCTCTAAGGCACAATGCTGCACCTCTGAGCATGGGATCACCCAGAGCTCCTGATCCTGGAGTCCAGGCTCTCAGGTCCTGCAAGAGGCCAAGAAGCAGAGATGGGTCAGAGGTCCCCAAGGAAAGGAGCTGGCCCACCAGGCTACGCCTCCCAGCTGTGCTGTCTCTGACTTTAACCTCCCAGACTAACAGTCTGGAGAGCACGCCTACAAGAACCTCCAGGAAGTTGTCCCAGCCCTTCTCGGTTCAGCGTGTGTTCTAGGCAGCCATACCTGTGTATACACAGAGGAAGAGCAGAGTGCCTTTACCTTTTGTCTTTAATTTATTCTTCTATTAAGTC